AAAATATAATCCCTAAACAGTGGAAATGTTTGGAATTTTTATTTAGCAGTGACATAAGCCATAAAGTATATAATTTCGTATATATTCTATTAATAGCATGTTAATGACTAGATACAACAGTTATCATTTTATAGAATCAGCAAACTATAAATTTAAATTGCAAAAGCTTATTTATAAAAATTTATGATATGTCCTTTATTACTCGTGAATGATCTTTATTTTATATTCTCTCAGTTAGCTATTTTTTTTTTTAATTATCTCGAGTTTTATCGCATTGCTAGAACACTCTGCGATTTTATTAATTTGATCGAACATCAAATCGAACATTGCAGCAACAAGCAGCGCATATATAATTTTCAATACCTCTATCTGTCGAAATGTTATTTCTTTACTTGCTTTTATTTAATTTACTTTGATATGAAGATATGTATTTAACAAATGTATCTAACTTTAGAGTTTGTAACATTTTCCCGCAAATAAATTGTAAGTTACAAAATAAAATGTAAGAGTCAGAAACGAAGAAATAATGGAAGATTATTGTAGAATTTTACGAAGAGTAATTATTTATTTTCGTACAGAGCAGATAAACTGACATTGAGAGTTTTGAAGAAAAATGATTTTCGAGTAAATGTTATCTTTTCATTTTAGTTTTCTACTGGTATTATTAATCTTTGTTTGTAACGTGGTTCCGTATTTTTAGTGTTAAAGAAGTTAGTGATGTGTCGTATTTTTGACAAGCACGTTGTATGGTATCATGATAAAAAATGATGTCGTTGTGTCTTCCGATAAAGTTGTCTAAAATTCGTCTAAAAATATCATGGACTGCCTATTAAATATTTATTGTAGGAAAAATAATACTTGCTGCAAGAAGTATCTCTTTAGTGTGAACCTGTTAAAAGTCAAATTTCTCAAGTTCGTAATTTTATTTCGTCGTACGATTAAAATGCTGATAACGTCGTTACTCTTTTTTAATGTATTCGTTCACTATCATATATTCAATGTCGTTTATGTACTATCGGCGTCACATTTTTAATACACAACATTGTTGAACGGGAATTAAAAATTCACGTGACGCTAATTTTACAACAAATCAAGATTTTGAACAATATAAAGCCGTAGTACAAGTGACATAATCCAGTTGAGATTTCAAATTTAGGAATATCACGTTATACATAGAATCTACTTAGTCGAACCACGATTACAAATCGGTCGATCAAAAAAGTCTAAGTGATACGGGCCATAGTAATCAGCCTTGTAAGTGGCATAATCCACTTCAGACTCCAAATCCACGAATATATCTATCACATAGAATTTAAATCCCGTGATACTTTACCTGAAATTATTTTTAACTATTCTTACCAGCAACAAGCTGTTCGAAATGAATTTTTCCACATTCAACATAACGTGAAACTGTAAAGTTTAAAGAATCGCATCATCCGAATGCAAATTCTTGCACGACAAACGACAACCATAAATCAAACGTGATATAAACCACACTGGTTAGCCATATGAATAACGTAATCCACTTCAGTAATTACAAATCCACGTGTATCGCACTACTGTACAGAACTTGGCATCGTTGTCAGCCCAAACTATCCTTAATCTTATTTTTGACTCATATGTAGCAATGAGCTGTACGAAACGATCGTTTCTATCGTGCTGATCTCTTCACACTCGTGAACACCATCCGCGTAATAGGTGTGCGTGCACGTACACACTCACATCACCATTAGGTTCTAATTTCTGCTCGCAGGTACTTACGTACATATTTGGCATTGACACGTGTGCGAGCAAGTGAGCCGTGGCCGCGCTGCGCCGACTTTTCCCGCCACGTAAGCTCGGCCTCGCCTTGCTCGCTTGCTATCACCATCCAGCCGTGATAAGACGGTTGCCCTGTAAAATGCAGTTTCTCTCTCTCTCTCTCTCAGTCGCTTATTACCTCACTCACTCTCGCACACGATCGCCACTCGAGAACGTGAACCGAGAAAGAAGGTGTTCGTAAGGCGCCGGTTAAAGACGATGAAGCTAAGCTTTCGCGAAGTTTTTTTTTAGAATATTAGATATTTTAGGCCTTTTCTAGAAATTAGAAGAGTAGATATTATTTTCTATTATCGTTCGTCGATAAGATCGTACGTTTTATTCCGTACAAATTGCTCGGATAGGATTTAGTACGATCGTTCCAAGAAATAATAATTCTGGCAACAAGAATCGTTTTCTTATATTTTTTTTTTGACATTTATTTTATTTAATACAAAATTGATAAAATTGGTGCTAAGATTTACTAGGATGCGTGATTTCATTGCAAATGGAATTGTGTATTTATATACCTCGAGAAGTACTGATTTAATCCAGAAAATAGATCTTCTTTTGTGCTTTTAACTCCGTATTTTTACCAAAAACCAAATCATTGCAAATGATTGAAGAAAACTCTTCGTACGAATCATACTCTCTGCACTGTCCAATTTCTTGACCTGTAAACACTTTCTGACCTGGCCGCGCGAGACCGAAGATCGTAATTTAATCAAAACGATCATCGCAGACCGCGAGCTATGTAGTCGGTAAGAATTAACTAGCGCACACATACACACACCAAAAAAAAGGGATGAAAGAAGAAGAGAAAGAAGGAGGAATATGATGAAAAATGAGGGATAAACGGACAGGCGAGGGATGTTGCTGGCGAATGGAATCGGTGCGATCGAGGCGAAAGAGGCTGGCGCGAGAGCAGACACGATTCGGCGAATGTTTACATTCCAGGTCAGCCGATTATACGACGGGCATCTTTCAGAGCATCGGCTTCAAGGAGTTCCACGCTTACCTCGTGCTGCCTGACGAGGAGAGGCGAGAGAAAAAGGTGAGCAGAAGCGGTGAACTGCAACATTCGTCACGTTCCTCACGCCGCAGCTGTGCGTCGTTGTTGCACGACCCAGACGTTTTATTATATCTTTTAGAGAAAGGATGAGAGAGCGAGAGAGAGGGGGAGGCAAATCGAAGGGGAGAGCTTTAAAGGGATGCTCGATCATGTTGGATGTTGCGGTTCGAAGAGTGGGGAATTCGTTTCCCTTTTTCTTTTGTTTTTTATATACATTCGATCCTCTTCCTTTGAGTGTTTCTGAACGCGAGTGTTTTTTGATAGTCCTCTCGTATACACACATATGCGAGATAGGGTTGTTCGAACCTAACAGAAATCTACCTTACACTGTACTCCGTGAGTTTTTTTTTTTTTTTTAATTTAAGCCTGACAGAAGTCAGATTGATCAACTATTACATATGGATTATTTGAATTTGAGCTTGATAGAAGCCAAATTGGTTAATTTCATTTTTCATTGATTCTGTCTTATGGTATTCTACTTATGAGTTGTTCGAATTTGCAAGATTAATCTCTAAAGAAATATCCATTTCAAGGCAAGAATCTTCAAATTTTCCATAATATGTGTGCACAGTAAGGGTTGAGAGAAAGTTTAATAATCATGAAAGTTTAATAATACGGTCGTGTGATTTTCATCAGCGATGAATGAAATTACTGTTTTGTCAGTAGTTAGTTGAAAAATGTTCATTCCGAGAGATTAATTCAATTAAAATTCTTTGTATTAAATTAATTAAAATTTTTTATATTGAAAAGTAATTTCTGATTCGGAAATGATTTCGATAACACTGCAAGACGTTTCTCTAATAATTCGTGACATTACTACAACATCAGTCGTCAAAATGCGTAAGTTTAAATATGTGCCATTTTCATTTATTTATCCATGTATTTGGTACTTTTATGTTCTGATTTTTTTATAGCTTTCGTAGTTCCTTTATACATTATCCTTTATACTTTATAAAAATTGTATTTTATACATTCTGGTGAATATCACTACCGAGTGTAGCCAGCTATTATAGTATTAAATATTAAGACAGGAAAAATGTTATGATTTTTACTGAATTGAATTTTAATCGACAAGAGAAACATATAACGTAATTACAACTAACAAGAGAACGTGTAATATAATTTTATATTCTATACTAAACGAGTGTTCACACATAAATGATCAATTTTTTTTAAACTTTATTTCTTTCCACTACTGTACATAAAATACATAATTTTTCAAGTTGGAACTACTATTATTATAAAAAAAATGTGATGTGACTTGAGAAAGGGTTGAAGAAGAGTGAAAGAATTGTATATGCTTGAAGAGTTTATTACTATTAATATTGTTTGAATGATGACGTGTGTGAAACTGGATACGTTGTGATTTCTTCTTGCATCTGGTATGTCGGTTGCCTGAAAAATTAATAATGATTCAATATGCATTATGTTCAGGCGAGTTATGTTATACTCATATATAAAGGAAGAGTATGTTTTATTTATAGGGACAGGAATTGTTACAAAAGAGCATTGAGGATCTAAAAATGGTTACAAAGAGATACGCAAAGAAGCAGGAAAAGTGGATTCAAAATCGCTTGATTCGTCGCAGTGATAGACAGGTATGAATCTCTTTTACAGAAATCCTGTTTATTGACTCAGAATGTTTTTTTATTCTCGACGGGACTTTCAATTTTATCAATTTCTATTATTATTAATAGAAGTTCACGTCAGAAGTTTTATTTCTAACTTTTGCAAAATATTGCCATGTTTTAATTGTTGCAGTAGAAATATAATTGTTAATTACTGTGCTGTGACAATTAGTTAAAAATGATTTATCGATAAAAGATCTATAGATCTATGGACTATTTTTCCAAAAAAGTTCTCAATTAATTAATTAATTAATCGCAGGTACCGCCAATTTATGTATTAAATTGTACAAATGTCGATCAGTGGAACAGTCGTGTGTATGAACCAGCTGTGGCAATAATCGAGGCTGTGTTGAAGGGTGAAAAACCAGAGCAGAAACCTGTAAATGAGACGTTCACAGGTCCTGTGGAAAACCAAATATTTCATGACAGTAGCAATGCCGAAAAATATTACTGCGATGTAAATTTTTGTATTCAGCTTTTAATAATTGGTATAATTATTTTTCGATATGAAGAATCACAGAATCAAATATTTTCTTCACAGATCTGCGAGAGGATATTTATAGGTGAACTTCAATGGAATCAGCATCAACGAAGTAATAAACACAAGAGGGCTTTGAGAAGGAAACAAAGATTGGAAAAACAAAAAAAGTTGGAAGAACAAGAAAAGTTGGAAGAAGAAAGAAAGACTGAAAAAAATCTATGATAAAAATTTATATACCCCATTCCGTATGCTGTGATTCTATTTTGTAAAATATTTTGAGAAAAATAGTATATTTTATGCTTATAGTTTTTATTGTACATAAAAATGTTTGGAATATTGATTTATTTGCTTTACTACCCTTTTAGAGCATTAATATTAATATTTTAATATTTAATTAATATTTTAAAAGCAAATATTTTGTTACAGGGTAAAGTAGGAAAATGATTATCTTCTTATGATAAGTAAGATTTCTTTCGTTTTTCTAGTTATTGGCTGATACCATTGATCACAGACGAAGTCAACATGAATAGATCACAGACGAGATATACAATAATTGTAAAATTTTAATTTACCATATATAAAAAAAAATCCATAAAACATGAATGGAGCTCTTTGTGATATATAGTTGAGTGATTTCGGTTAAGTACTAGCTTCATATTTCAATATTTGATAAAACTGTAATGGATTTCAAAAATCATATTTTTGGCGCATTCACTATTTGATTAACTCTGATCGTTTTACTTGATGTAATTCTCCAATTCAGCATTGTTGTAAGTGTAAAGTGTGATAAGAAACCATTTTTTACTATATCACATATTTGAGCTTGGGCACAGTCGAAGTACGTACATGAATAGAATTCGTCACAGACGAGGTCGTTCTGTCGTGGCCGAAAAAGTACATGGTCATACAGTGTCTATTCATATACCTCGTCTGTGGTGTAATACTTGTCGATATGACAGGCTGTGACACGAAAATGGTAAGGGGGTCAGGTGATCCCCGAAACTTTGGACAAAAAAAAGCATTGGATGCCCGGTCTATCCTATTATTCAATGATGTGCTAATGCAAATTATTGGTGTAAATAATAAAATTAATTATTTTCTTTAATATAAATATAAAGCGGTTAGTTCCTCCATTTCGCCACAATGTGACGCTAGCATTTGTCACCATGAAAAACAGACAAATTTTCATTTGCGAAAAAAGTGGTTGTGAATTGAAAAATGAATTAAATTGTATACTTTTGTAGTTTTCTTTTTTTAATTGGAATTCTTTCTAGTTTTCTTTTTATCCCCTATTTAAGCGCAAAATTCGCATATAAAAATTTTTGAAAATAATTAGTACCTCTACCGATAGATGGTATTGTGTCTAAAACGAGTCAATTTGCACTGATTGTAAAAAAATTAAGAGGATTCAAGTTTTGAAATTGCGTCGTTCAAGATTCTTAGTTTTCGTTACATATTACCTTTACGTCTTAAGATGTATTAATACAGATTTTCAAAATTTGTCATTGCTAAATAGGATAGCTCGGGCGGAATGTGCTAGCGAGTGCTTATACAAATATTTTCTGTTTCTTTGTGTATTACTGGGAGCAAAATTTGTTACTAGTTAATTCCTAATTTACCATTGTACTTCTTTAAATGTTTTTGATTACAGGAGCACTTAATTTCAATATACTTAACCTTAAACCGTAGGTTTTCCCATTCAGAATGTTTCTTCCAAAGCCTCATACGCTCAAGCTGCTCAGCAATTCTATATACGAGAAAAAGCAATTATATTAGATTCCACTGAAGGTTCTTCGATTCAAGAATACATTATTGAAATTGGCAACTTATCTGTCGAATGTCAGATTTATATTCTCAAGGCCAACTGTTTATACCAGGATAGTGAGCACATAGCTGACATGTTAATTGACAATTATACGGAAGTAAACATCAAATCTCATTCCCTGGAACTCATTTCTAAATCCAAATGTATAATATTCTCCAACGTGTGCCATATTCCGCATTCTGTCATTTTTAAGAGAAAGTATTAAACTCATAGTTCAGATCATCTTCATTAAAGCAGGTCTAAATAATCCAGGATATGCAAGCATCTTGAGTTTACATTGTTAGATGTATACCTAATTTGAAGATATTTCAAAGGTACCTGAATCCATCCAAATAAGTTATGATAATACATTTATGGATATATTTATCTACAGAAAATCTAGTGTGCTTTTTATGCAAGTAAAAAGATGTGTTTAAATTCTGCAAAAACTTTGACTTCTAGCCACTGGTTTCATATAATTCTAGCTTATGTTACAACGAAATAATTATTAATCCAGTCGTCTAAGCTGAACAGCTAAAATTTTTTCATGCTTCCATTGCAGATTTCTGCTACATTGTTACCTTAGATAAACTACAAGTTGAAAACATCACAAACTGTCCTGCTATCCCGAAGATGCATCAAGAGAAGGCTTACTGACTTCAACTCTTACAACAACTTCTTTTACTGATTTGAATGCTGTCAAATATGATAGATATGGTAGATGTAAAGCAGTCGTTTCTACCAAATAAATGAAGAAATCCAAAATAGCTAATAGAACAGAGATTTTCCTAGAAGAGATATCTTTACTGTTGTTGCTTGTCAGGACTACATCTTATCCCACTCAAAATCACTCAGTGAATTTTCAAAGTTCTCTATAATTCCTATTGCACACACGACAATCCTAAAATCCTGGAAGCAGAGTTAAACTACACAAGAGAAATACCAAGAAATACCTCTCTTAAAGATCCTTTCTTTTTCTTTACAAAACTTGAGATAAGCCACGTCATAAAAATTATCCAACACCTCCTATCGAGAAGATAGGCTGTGAGTGAAGATTTCTCTCTTCTAGAAGACTCCAGTTAGATTAAAGTTCTTTAAAGTATTATACTGTTACGTGTTTTCTTCTAGAACTCAGAAAGTCTTTGCGTCTGGAAATTCAGTCCATCTTAGTCAATTATAACAGCCTCATCATCATTGAAACGTGGCTGACTCATAAATACAACTTTAGCTTCCGAAGATTTATAGAGTTAAGGAAAGAGAATTCATTTAAAAAATGTTAGATTTCTAATTCTTATCTTCTTATAAAAACGTGGTTTCCAGGCAAATTACTCAGTTGAACTATGTGGTCCTTGTTTAAATAAACAAAGCCATAACTAGATACATATGTCTGCTATAAAGCTCCAGGCCTTACACAAGATCAATGGGATTTAATTATTCAAAATATTGACACTGAACGTAATTGCATTCTAGTAGGTGATTTTAATGCTAATGCTTAAAATGCTTTAACATAGGTGACTCATTCTAATTGGAATTGCAAATATATAGATAATAATGACAGAAGATTTCATAATGCCTTGGAAATCACTGATCTTTTACAATGACAACTCTTGTACATATATTAACGTATACAAAAATTTTAGATTCAGTATTGATTTCTTATTATCTACTTTGAATATTTGTGACAAAACTGATACTGTTGTGTATGATGACCCAGGGTTCTGATCACTTCCTTATTTGTTTTACCATTAAGATAACAATAAGAAGTATTACGAGAAAAGTTAGACAGTATAGGCACAATACAATTTATTGGACCGAATACAGTGATGCTTCATCAATAAAAGAATACAAATATAAGACTATGAAATATAAAATAAGAATATAAAAAAAAAATAACGATTCGGAACAGGGTTTAATGGTAATAAGGACGAAAATCTTATGTATTTGATTATTTACATCTGTTTCAAAATAGAAAAAGTTGATTGAAATATATTTTTATTTTGTTTTATATAAAGGATTGGACGTATCAAATAAACATTTCCATAAATATTCTTACTTTTTATCCCGAGTTAGTTTTGTGTATGTTCAAAAAGCGCGCGCATTCGGATTAGCCTAGTTATGATTACAGCGCCATTATACGGTGAAATGCGTAATACATTCCTATCATTCTCGAACGAAATCGATATTTTTCATGATCGATATTTAAGCGGGAAGCATGGCGGAAAGTAGCACGCCTCATCTCTAAAAAGGGAAGTGTAATCCAGAAAAACCACAAAGAGATATCATCCAAAAGTTCTCAGGTAAAAATATAAAACAATAGTTGCCAGATTTGTGTATGTATTCTATATTTTTAAGATAAAACGTGAATTTTTAGCTTCAACTCAAGACTTTCGGACATGGCTGCAGTTCTCCGATTCGTCACACTGGCTACAAAACTTGGAGATCCGGCTCTAGTGCAACGA